GATCTTACTTCTGCTTGTTAAAGGTATTTTTAAGACTCTTTCACATTATTTGAAGTATTGCTAAAAGCTAGTACTTCAGGACTATCTCAGCTGTTGATGCCTGCATCAACATATTGCGTCTGGCAGTGAAATTCAAGCAGTACAAATTGGAAGGGGAGCAAAAGTAATTTTTGCTGCTCTGAATCAGACTAATGTACTCTGATAACCATTTCGTGGTCAGAGAAGGTTAATGTTTGCAGATTCAGTGAACTTGAACCACAGTAAAGGCTAGAAGGACTTCTGGGCAGCATGCTGTCGTGAACCATTGTATTTACTTTCTCAGTGTACTTCTGTGCAACTTAATGTACTGTGTGGCTGCTTATCTATGATGTTTCTCAATTAAAAAAAGAAGTAGGGGATGGCTGGAAACAATCATCTTTTCAATCTTGTACAATAGAGTTAGTTGGTATATAGTACATGGAGATTTACTGAATATTGATAGTTATGATAATAACAGAATAAAAGAAATTCTGACTTGGCAGGCTTTGAACATGTTTCTAATGTGAAAGGAGCTGGTTCTCTTGCAGTGGTTACCTTTAATATTTCACATTTAATTTTTACTTGGAGAAATGGTCAAAGGCACAGATGAGCTCCTTATGGGGAGCAGCTGAGGTCACTTAGTTTGTTCAGCTTGGAGGAGAGAAGGTGGAGGGGTGACCTCATTTCAGTCTACACCTTCCTCAAGGGAGGCAGCAGAATGGGAGGCGCTGATCTCCCCTCTCTGGTGACCAGGAGTGGGACACATGGAAATGGAATCAAGCTGCATCTGAAGCCCGGATGGGACATTAGGGAGAGGCTCTCCACCTTACAAGAGGGTGATTGGTCACTGGAACAGGCTCCCTGGAGAAGTGGTCACAGCATCAACCCTGACAGGGTTCAGGGAGTGTCTGGATGATGCTCTTAGTCATAGGGTTTAGTTGTAGGCAGTCTTGAGGGAGTAAAAGAACCTCACTGGGCCCCTTCCAACTTCAGCTATTCTATTCTAAGCCTGATTTTTGTGTCCTGCTCAGTCAGTCTGTGTACTGAGAAGGTTGTCAAATAATGTCAGGTGTCGTGTTTTATGTAGGTACAGCTCTCTGAGATGACCAAAGATATGCTTTTCCTTTTTAAATTGAAAACTCTTCATCTTTCTGCATTAGTGGTGGAACTTGGCAATATGGGATATGCTTTGTGAAATGTGATCTCTTATAAATGTCATGCATGTTCTGACAGTATTGACTTACAGGAAATTGCAAGATGCTGTATTTTCCAGCTGGTTGTTCACTCCAGTTTTTCTTGGATGCCCCCCAGCTAACCAGTACAAACCCCATGGGAAGTTTGGATCCAAGGTTATGTAGCTCTAGACTAATGATCCAGTAGAAACCCTTCTGGAACTAACCTATGGTAGAAAATGACAGCTTTGCCCACTGTGAGGATGTGCAAAAGCCCAGTACAGTTGTAATCTAAAGAGAATAAAATTTTCCTAGGTTCATCAGTAAATGACTAATACATGGAGAGTGGAAAAGAGCCTCTAGACATTGTGAAAAGACTCAGAGCACAATTGCTATTCAGAGCACAACAGCTTGTTGAATTGCCCTGTTGCCTGGAACAGTGTTATTCTCTTCCATGGAAAGAAGTTGCTGGGGAAAATTGAGGAACAATGAAATGGGAAATGTTTGCAGTTTTGTTCCACAGCTTCTTATATTTAATGCCATGCAAAGATTCCGGTGTAATTTTTCCTCTGCTTTGGGATGCATGAAGGGAAATACTTGATTCGAAGGCATCAGCACAAAAATCTACCAGTCTATACTAAAGCTGATCTGGTTCATTAGAGCAGTTTATTAATAGATAAATCATAGTTGCAAATGAAAAAATAACGTTTCCCTGAGGGATATTCCCTGACTAATTTTCCAGTGTCCCAAGTGGACACTTCTGTCTGCTTATCCTTTTTTGCCTTTCAGACTCTGATTTTATTTTATCTGTTTAAAGAGTTCCTCCTCGTCTTTGAACCAATACTTTTTTTCACACTTCATTCTTCTGAAGTCAGAACCAGAGCTAATTTAATTTCCTTGTAACTCTCTGATGTATAAATGACATAATTTGTAGAAGTAATTCAACAGCTGAGAATATGGAGTCTTGAATGAAGCTCCTCTGCAGGACCCTGAAGAGCAGCTCAGTAGTTCTCTAGAGGCTTCTGAAGTATTAATGAAAACACTTCTGATTTCTTTTAGTTTTCCATTCTTCATTTATATTAATCCTAATGAAGATGAAACTTGCTTGGGAATTAATGTTATAAAATCAATGCAATTGTAACTAGATGAAAGATCTAAATTAATTTAAAACAAACAAAACCACACAACAAAAGTCTGTTTTCTCCCCTCTCCAGGGCATTGTAAAAATATGTTATTACTGTTAGAAGTACTTTCTAATTGCTGCAGAGTTTGAGATATTTTTGAAAGCAAGTTGTTTGATTGACAGAGTATCTCCTAGCAACTTAGAAAGCTTTAAATACAACTGATTGAATAGTGCCCGAGGAATACATTGTCGAGCCCAAAGCACGTGCCAAAACCAGGTGATGATTCCCTTCTTTAAAATACATCAGATAGTAGAGATGTAACTCAACTCAATATTTTGTCAGTATCAAAAAGGAATTTGCATAAGACACATGACACAATATATAGAACACTAAATCCCAAATGACATTCTGGTACTGCAGACTGAAATAGGAGGTCTGTGAGGTAGATTTTAAGTTTAATATTGTATGCTTCTGTTGAAACAGTGCTGTGTTATCAAGAAGCAGAACTAGACTTTTTGCTAGTTCTTGGTACTTGCCACTTGGTATACACATTGGCCATGTGAACAAGCATATGATCTTGCTGGTATTTTACATGGACAGCCATAGGAAAACTACTTAAAAACATGAAAGCTTGGGGTTTTTTATTGATTGGAGGACAAATCAAGGCAAAGAATGTTAATGTCAACAGAGAAATGTTGCGGGACTGCAGCTGCTTTTTCATATTTCAGTCAGCAGCTTAAGATGCTGTTTTCTCTCATTATGTCTATTTGTAGGTAACCTACAAAAATGCTAACAAATCTGCAACATAAATAATTGCACTTCAACTCAAAAGAACTTCTGGTAAGTGTCAACAATATAGAGTATCCACAAAGTGGCTGTTGATATGTTCTGCAATAAGAGCAGTTTAACTTTGCTCAGAGGTGGGAAACTAAACTACATTGCATGCTGTCCAGCTGCAGAGAATAAATGCAGTTGTCTTGTCGAGCAGTATTTGTATGCTGGTAGCTGTGCTTTGACTGGTCTGGTGGTACGGCATAGTACAGCTTTGGGAGAAATCAAATAAAGGAGAAGAAGAATGTCTGTGAAGTCAGGGTTGGAAAGCTGGGACTAGGTTACACGATGTTGTTAGGTGATGTTACCTGAGTGTGCCCCACTCAGCTGTGCTCGCAGAGATCCTTGCCTCCACAGATTAGAGGGCTGAAGCATTTGATCTAGGCAGGCTAAAGAAGTTGGGATTGTTAAGCCTGGAGAAGAAAAGACTCCAGGGAGACCTTACTGCAGCCTTCCAGTACTTCAAGGGGGCTACAAGAGAGCTGGTTAGAAAAGGATTTTTTACAAGGGCATGTAGTGATAGCACAAGGGGAAATGGCTTTAAGCTGAAAGAGGGCAGGTTTAAATGAGATATTAGCAATAAATTATTTATTGTGAGGGTGGTGAGGCACTGGAACAGGTTCCCCAAAGACATTGTGGATGCCCCATCCCTGATGTGTTCAAGGCCAGGTTAAATGGGACTTTGAGCAACCTGGTCTAGTGGAAATTGTCTCTGCCCATGGCAGGGGGGGTTGCAACAAGATAATCTTTTAAGGCCCCTTCCAACCTAAACTATCTTTCATTCTATGATCATTCTAGAGACAGATTTTTAAAGGAGAGAGAAAATTCTGTGAGTTTTGTGGTATTTTGATATGCATTAGAAGGGGCCCATGGTGTAAGATCAGATCACTTAATTTACTCTTGCACTGTTGCTGTGTAAGATAGAATCATAGGGAAATTTGTGATAGAGAACTTGTGATGTGTCTGTCATACGATATTTCTTTCTGAGACTTGGATGGAATGCAGTGATAAGAGAAAAATACTGCCATAGCTAATCCTGGGCTTTTTTTCCTGTACTTCTGTTTCACTGCTGTCCATCCACCCTATTTGAAATGAATGTGTAGATCTTGAATATCCGAATCAGCAGGTTGCATTCTGTGTGTATTTCTGTGAAGCTACATGCATCAAGTATTTTTTTTTTTTCTGTTCTGCTTGTCCCATTTGTTTTGTTGCTATGTACTTAGAGAATGTCCTGGGGGAGGGGGAAAGATAAATTTCTTCTGGGTGTGGCTTTACCCAGGCCTGTCTGTGCCATTGAAGTGGTCAGTGAAAAAAAAAGCAAGCTGCTGTGATCCACTTACAAACAGAATAAACTACATACTTACATTTATATTTTAATTGTATCTGTATTTACTTAGCGTATTTTTATCTCTAAAAAAGAATTCTGTACTATTTATTAAATATTAATATATATAAATATTATATGAACACTTTAACCAATTTCTGTATTTGAATATTCAGGATGGACCATTTAATACAGGAATCAACATAAGTATCTAAAAATATGGTTTGGATAATTTTCTTAGGCATTTGCCTCTGAAATCCCCTAGTTCATTCATTACCAGGAGCTGGGAGGGGATAGCTGGGGTGTAATTGTTTTCAGCCTTCTGATTCATAAAGCCACTAGCCCTTACAGGCTTCCAAATTTGAGCAGCATCATGATCCAAATCAGTGATACCTGGAAAATTCCAAACAATTCTTTTCATTTGTATTTGTACTAGGGAACATTCAAATCTGTTAAGATTATTGTTACTGGGGCCTGGGGTTAGTTGTTTGCCTGTTTTCCTTTTTTTATGCTTCCTGTCTTTACTTGCAGGTAACATCATGGTGCTGTGGTCAACTTGCAGAACATCGCTACTTAAATCTGTAACCAACCGGTTCATTAAGAATTTGGCCTGCTCGGGGATCTGTGCCAGCCTGGTCTGTGTGCCTTTTGATATTGCTCTTAGTTCCAGTCCACACTGCTGCTGGTGGATCTATACGATGCTCTTCTGCAGAATTGCCAAGTTTCTGCACAAAGTCTTCTGCTCAGTGACCATCCTTAGTTTTCCAGCCATTGCTCTTGACAGGTAATGGGGAAAATTTGCTATGATCCTGGATTTTTCTTTCTTCTTTCTCCCTTTGTCTTGATAAATGTGGTATCACTATCTGTAATGCACACCAATGTTGCCACTGGAATAGCATATCATTTACCCTTCTCCATGGGAACTTGTGTGTGATCTGCCTCAGAAAAAGCACAAACTCCTATCATGTATAATGATAAATGTGAAAAGTCTGGTCTGTCACGAAGACTCTGGGAGCTTAAAAGTCCTCAGCAGTACTCCAGTAGAAAGCAAACAATCAGTGTCTGAAATTTGAAGTGCATGTCAGAGATGCACTATTTTTTTTTTTACATGCACAAAAAGTGTTCAGTGTTCAGCAACACTTTTGCTCAGGGTTTGCCAACCACAGCTTGTGCAAAGCAAAACACCATTGTACTTCCAATAGATGGATACATGTAATCTGTGACCAACAGCTTTTTCCAAATATCCAGAAAAAGTCTGTTGTAAAGCAATTTTTAAAACTATGGGTCTGGTCTTTGAATGTCACATGTGTCTCCATCATGTGTTTTGAAATTTTGAGTGTGTGCAATGTGCTGTCTAGTTTACAAGTAAGTAAATGGTGAAATCTTAAAAATAATATTCATATGCATCAGCCAAAATGATGTATTGAAAGAAATTTTCACCACCAGAAATGTGATCTTGACATTTAAATATTCAGGTTTTTTCTAGAGACAGACCTGCAAAGGCAGACCTTGGGGGTGTGGGGGGGGGGTTGTGTTTTTTGTTTTGTTTTTCTTTCATAAAGAGGTAGTCAGTTGGCAACCCAGTTAGGGATTTGGAATGTTATGCTCAGATGGCTCCTGAGAGGTTTCTCATAAGCAGTATGCACATGAAAATAACTTTTTTTTTTCTTTTTGACAGATACTACTCTGTTTTATACCCTCTGGAAAGAAAAATATCTGATGCAAAATCCCGAGACCTGGTTATCTATATCTGGGCCCATGCAATAGTGGCCAGCATTCCAGTATTTGCTGTGACCAATGTGTCTGATATTTATGCCATGTCCACTTGCTCTGAATCTTGGAGTTACTCCCTTGGCCACCTGATATATGTTGTCATCTATAATATCACCACTGTGATTGTACCAGTGGCTGTGGTATTTCTCTTTATGATTCTTATTCGCAGAGCTCTGAGTGCCAGCCAGAAGAGAAAAGTCATCATAGCTGCATTAAGGACCCCTCAAAATACAGTTTCTATCCCATATGCCTCCCAGCGAGAAGCTGAGCTCCACATCATGCTGCTTTCTATGGTTATGATATTTATCTTCTGCAGCGTCCCCTACGTGACTCTGGTGATTTACCGCACCATACTCAATATTTCAGATATTTCAGTCTTCTTGCTCCTCACCGCTATTTGGTTGCCCAAGGTCTCTTTGCTGGCCAACCCTTTGTTATTTTTAACTGTTAACAAATCAGTACGGAAGTGCTTAGTGGGGACAGTAATACAGCTGCACCAAAGGTTTAGCAGGAGAAACATTGTCAGCTCTGGTGGTATCGCAGATGATAACATGGAGCCCAGTGTCCATTCGGGAAGCCAGCTTCTGGAGATGTTTCATATCGGGCAACAACAAATCTTCAAGCCCATGGAAGATGAGGAGAATGAGACCAAATCCATTGGCTCTGGTGACTTTCAACGGAAAGAAATTCCTACCACCGGTTTAGAGCTAGGACGGACTTCGGTTCACAGGTTTATACCACAGACGATTGCAGACTCTGCAGCTCAGGTGGCCCCAGCTGTGCCCACAGAAGCTGATACAGTAAATGACAAGTATGCCATGCAGTTTGGTTTTGGACCCTTTGAGCTGCCTCCACAGTGGCTCTCAGAAAACCGAAACAATAAGAAGCGACTCCTGCCTCCTTTGGGGAATACCCCTGAAGAGCTAATCCAGACAAAACAGCCTAAGTGTAAAACAGAAAGAAAAGCCAGCAGAAACAATAAAGTCAGTATCTTTCCCAAGGTGGATTCTTAGTAAGAGCAGGAGCTTTAAGTGACAGAGGAAGGTCACTTTCTATTACATGTTTGATCCCATGGATCTTTATTATGTTGAAGTTTGTTATGGCCTGATGTTTTTTTTTTTTTGCCAAATATAAGTTAAATGAACAAACAAAAGAAAAACATATATATAAATGTTCCTTATTAATATGAAATACTTAATGAAAATATATCAAATTATATATGGAAATTTGTAGTTTGATCTCTGAAATCCTTACAATGATACCTTGTTATTAACTTTCAGAAGTACATATGAATTTGGGAACTCTTTTTATGGCTGAATTATGGAAATGTGGCAGTTGGTTTTCTGGGAAATGTTATGTTGTATTAAAATGGACTGGGCATCAAAGTAACTTAAGAGGAAAGGCTGTAAAGAGCAGAAGACATGCAGCATGGTAAGTCCTATTCTCCGCAGACACAGCAAGATTCTGCACATTTCACTAATGAAGTTGGATGGACTATTAGGTGTGTTTGTTTTGTTACGCACATTTATTTGATCACAGTTAAAGCTTTCTTGCACAAATTAGTTACCAAGCATCTGCCTAACATCTAAAATAGTTTAAATCCTACACCACTGTTTTTTGGCTTAAAACATTGAAAAAGCCAAGAATCCCCAAATCATAATGCATGTTAAACCTGAGAAAGACCTCTTTTTATAAATATTCCACATATATTCCTGTAGTTTTAAGTAAAAGCTGGATTGGAGACCATGCAAGACAAATCCTGACTCCAATAAATATGTATGTGTTAAGAATCCTGTGATAAAGGGCATATACAAAAGTCCTTACAGTGTCATGTATGTATTAAGTAACTAAGGGGTAAACCTTGAAATAAACTTAACTGCTAGTGCACTCTGCTGTTCTGTTATGGGAAAGCTAGCAAATGAAAGTAATGTGTGTGAAATGCTAGTGGCCTTTCTCTGAGTGTGACAGTCTCAGTTTCTGAATCTGCCTCTCACTCTCACACTGAGACTCACAGAGAGAGATTCTGAGTGTTTCAGTGACAACTGAACTGTCGGGTGAAGAAGCTGGCAACAGATGCCAAAAGGCAAAGTTTTATTAATGCTGTTGCTCAATATTGCCGGTGGTAGAGAAGTTTTCCTTCTATCTTCACAGACACAGATACCAACCCTCCTGCTCCACTCGTCATGCAGAGCAGACCACCCAATGCATGAACACAAGACTTTAAAATCTGGTGCCTAATTCCTGAGCGAGTCAGTCGTGCCAACCCTGGTATCAGCTCAGCAGGCTTTCTGTGAGAGTTCAGGCATTGTGCTGCAGCTTGCCGCTCTGCAAAATCACAGGCGTATTGTCTCATTTATACTCAATGTGAACTTTAAATTGTATCTGTCTGTTAGGTGACCTAAAACTACTGTAGCCGTGGCATTTTAGTTCTTGTTCAGTTTCAAGTAGTCTTTCATCTGCACTCACTGTTGTCTCTGTGGGTAGTTTCTTAAAAGCACAATCTCGTAACACCTGTTTGCTCCTTGTGGTTTCCCTGTACTTCAGCCCTTTGCTGCATGCTGAACCTTTATCTGTGATTACTGTCTGTTTATGAAAGTAGTTTTCTTTAAAGCATTCTTTAAAAGGGACAAAGTGAAGAATCTTGACAAGTTCACAATAACTTACTGAATTCAACCAGTTAATTTTAAAAGTGAGAAAAAAAATTCTGCCAAAGCAGAATGTACCTTTTCTTCCTTTTACCTCTTTGAAGCAAGTCATCAGCTTCTAATGGCTCCAAGGTTGTGGATTTCTACAAGTCATTAAAAGCAAATGTTTTAATAAAAATGTATTTAAATAACAGTGTATAAATTAGTGTGTAAAAAACGTTTTTCTCCATTTCCTCTTCAGTTTCAGTGCATTTAATTTCTTGCTAGTTCAAGAGCTTCTCAGCTTGGGAGTGAGGAACAGGCTTCAAGGGGTCCAGATGGGTGGTGTGAGCCCAAGCTGCCCTTAGATACAGAGATGAGAAGATAGACATAGCTTGCCTGAAATCAGAAAGAAGAAAGATTCCAGAAAAAATTGGTCCTTCTGTGGGAGAGGTGGAGAAGTACTATAGCATGCAATTTTTTTTAAGTGCCAGTAGAAAGTAATTTAACAGAGTGTTTGTTTTTCCAAAATTGGTGAAAGAACAGATGCCATTGTGAAAATACTGAAAATCTAAAAATCAAAGTAGGAGTTGTAGTTTCCTTATGAATTTTGGCTAAGTTTAACATTCATGTCCTGCCTGCATAAAGGTACTGTTCAAAATCTCTGTGATTACTGAATGTGGATAAATGTTTACTCAGACCTGAACTCCTTTGAAGAAAGTAAACTTGGTTTTGTCCTTTTCAACTCCCATGTTGAATGAAACAGCAATGATAAAATTAAGAGTTAAATTGTATATAAATTGTATATAAATTGTATATAATTTTGTGGAAATTATATACAATTATATATATATGTGGAAAGCAAAGGGTATGTGATGGGTTTTTACCATTGAGACAAAAATACCTATTTTTTTCAAAAAGAATACATGTAAACACTTAATTGTATTTTTTTAGCAGATTATATCCAAAGACATTGAAATCCTTCACCAAGAAATTTACTACAGTGGTTTTCCATACCTCAAGAATTACTTCAGAATGTTTTTAGTCCATCCTTTAGCAATTTATCCATGTGGAAAGAATTCACAAAAGCGCATCTTTTTATAGAAAAATACCCAACCTGTGTAAAAACCAACCTGTTTAATCTGTGTAAAATTCACAAACCAGTTTCTATGCTAGAATTGCCATCAGAAAGGAGTAATTCAGAAAACTCTATGCAAGATGGAATATTTAACTTGTTTCATTTTTAACTCTGTTTAAGACAGTATTAGCTTTGAGTCATTAGTGCTGTCTCTTGGATTTTTTCAAATTCACCTGGAAAAAATGTTTTCCATGTCCAACATGGAAAAAAAAAATCAAGTGCTGTTATAACATCACATTAAAGTTATGCAGAAGTGATTTATGGGGTTTTTTTTTTGGTCTTTTTCTTTGTTTGTGGTTGTTTTTAACCACCATAGGTGTCAGTAAGGTAATTGTTTCTTTCTAGATTATTGAAGAACAAAAGTGAAATACAAAGCAAAGCCATGGGAGTTTAAGAAGAAAAAGCCTGGGGTAATTCAGCAAGTGCAAATGGATTTAAAGGCTAAATCTTACTAATGGGGAATAAACATGGAGGTAGGAAAATTAGAATCCATTATTCTTGTACTTAAGGGAGGAAAATAGAGCTCACATTAAACAAAGGAGGAAATAGTTTAAAAAGGATGAAAAGACTACAAGGACAATGTCAGTTTATTGTTCTGTGATATCCTTAAGAAATATTGTTAAATTAAAACAAACATGTGAAAATGAAAAACAAAAACCCCAAACCTGAATGAAATGAAAAACCAAAACTGTCCTTCAGTACTAAATGCTATGTTGGTGGAATACTTAAAAAAACGTATTTTGCTCTTCTCTGTAAGGAGAAAGTGGACTATTTTTAAAAGAAAGCACAAGAAATACCAAATGAGATTAACATTTGTTAATGCAAACAGGTTTTCTCTAGCAGCAGTTTTGCATCCTGAGGTTCCCTATGGCCAAGCACAGTGCACTGGGATGGTGATGTACTCCCAAAACTCCTTTGTGCACTCTTACTTGACTAAGCAGTATTAGAACTTCTTGGCCTCCATTTCTGTAAAACTAAACCCTCTACATTTTGCCTGGATCCCTTTCTAAGCCACAGAAGGTCCTGAGACACTTGCAAGATCAAATTTTTTTGTGTTGCCTTGCAGCTGTTTGGTAGCAAACTCCCAACACTGCACCCCACAGCACTGAGAGATTTCAGCACTGCACAGTCCATCTTGAGCTCCTGCTTCCCCCACTCCGCTCTTGTGCTGCAGCAGAAGCTGTGGCAACATGGAAGGCAGTTTTGTCAACACAGAAGTTTTTCCAATGCAAGTCAGAGGATTAATAGCTGGCTTTAATAAACAATGGAAGTTTTACCATTGACTCTGGACTTAGCATTGTAGTTTGGCCTGTCTCCCTCAGCTGACAGGTTACTGTGCTGTATCACTGTTGCTGATGGAACACACTGCAGAGCTCATCCTCACCAAAATACTAATACATAATCACTTGTCCCTTGCAAGAAAAGAGTCTGTTTATTGCCCTAATCTGTAAAGGAACTAATATAGCAAATATTAGCTGTGCTTGTCCTAACCTGAGTACTGGAACTGCTACAGTCTGACTTAGGAAATATTGCCTATGGTAAGTAAGAGGTACTTCAGGTGAGTACACAGAAAGATATAAAAAAATAATCAAAGGTAAATAACTAATGAGCATTAAAAAAACCTTAATTTTTTTACTCCAACATGTATGAGACAATGACAGAAAGGAGTTTTGGCTACCTATTTGTGTATTAAAAGGCATTTCAGAAGAGGAGTGTGAAGGTAAGCAGTAGTAATTGGGAACAATTTCCCTGTATGTCCCCTGTTGTTTGTATTTCTTTTTGATTGGATCAGGAAGAAAAGGGTAAATAAATTCTGTTACTATGACAACTGTGTTCTGAGTATCAGGACAGCTTGTCTAAATGTGATTTCATCATGTCATAATCTATCTTTTAGGACGAAAAGTACATCTTGGAGAGCTTTTCCTGCTGTCTACTTCTTAGACACAAAGAGTTTCCTCCATTCCAACCTTTTTTTTTTTTTTTAAATTGTCATACTTCAAAGAACTGTCTAGTTTATCTTGGAACAAAATTGACCTGTTCCTGGAAAGGCAAAAAAAGAAAGCACACGCTTCATTCTGCTTTTCTAGTTCAAGCCTAAGTACACGTGCCACCTATAACAATATTTGAGATTATGTAAGATTTAACGTTATTAAAAAAGTTTAGTCCTTATTGGAGAGGAAGACTTTTATGACCTGATTTACAGGATTTGAGATGAACTCTATGAACCTCTTCATCACTGGGTCTTCCAGGACACATAGCAGATGGTAAGATAACTGTGGTTTGAGATACCCCTGCTAAGCCATTATTACTCAGTCTCAGGTGTGATGGCCTCATTGGAAACCTTTACTGGCTCTATGTGGACAAGCAGCAGTAAGAAGTTTCAAAGAATTTTAAAGGAGTTTCATGTCCATTTATAACCAGATACAGAGCTGGATAGTCTCTTTTCAAAGGCTCTTGTGAGCTTGTAGGCAGTCTGTAATAGGAAAGGTAGTAACAAATCAAACTCTGTCAGCTGTCAAGCATATACATTGTACTGTAGAAAAAAAAATTAAAAATTGGGGCAGTTACACCTAGCTGCTTGCCATACCTCATTATGCATAGCTAATGTAATTCCTAGAAACCCCATATTTTAGTTTAGGTAGTTTGGAACTATATTGTCTATTCTGCTGCTTTCTCGTTGTCATTACTGGCCATAGATATTCAACTTGCGGATGTAAATATGCATTCTTGTATTTTTGGTTCAAGTCATCATCATCTGCACCGTCTGGAAAGCACCACAGGGTCCAAAACACCACTTTGCTATTGCATTAGCAATCAGTAGACATGTTAAAATTTTAACGTACCGGAGCTCAGCATGCTTAGGGAGGAGGCAAAACCACACAGGGTTCACTAGTGCATTTTCTCTGTCGTCAGTTCTTAACTGTGAACCACATTGCATCGTTACTGCACTAAAATACCAGGAGAGACTGTTCTCTTAGGGCACATGTCACAGTAAAACGCCACCTTCTGTAAGCATCGCTAAAAACTCTACTGCAGACCGCAACACACAACACCACTAGCCAAGTAAGATTTATTTTGGCACAAAAATTTGTCTATCAAAATCTTAATTTGAAGGAGATGCACTTTATCTCTTCAGGAAAAACTGTTGTGAATTTTTACTGCCGATGAAAACCTGATTTTAACACGCATGGGTATCTAAGGAAGCAGTAGGAGCCCGGAATTCTCTGTCGTTTTCTAAAAGTTAATCGGGCCATGGGAATTAGTCCTCACATTTTGTTTTAATGCAGGAAAGATAAAAAGGGATGGAATTACGAAGGCAATCGCGCTCCCCTTATTAATGAATCCCTTATTAACCGTGAGTATTCACGTATAAACAGTGACCACAGCAATAATTTTAAGTTTTAACGGGTTTATTTAAAAGTCTTTCAACTACCTGTGCGTGCGAGCAAACCCAATTACTGCAGGAGCCAGCCGAGGGCACCAAGAATTCACGGCACAGGCACTGTTGGGAAGGGGCAGCACAGTAACTTTTCCTTCCCGTTGCTCGAACGGGTGCGGCACGGGGCGGCTCGGGGGAAGCGGCGCCCTCCAGGCATCTCCTCTCGCGGGACGGAGAGCGCAGAGCTGCAGGGAGAGCTCCGTCCCGTCCGGATCCCCGGGAACGGGCCGGGACAGCCCGCAGCTATCGCGAGACCTCGCCGGCCCGGTCGTCACGGCAACGGCGCCAGCTGCTGCTGCCCTCCCTCGGTAAGGACGGGGCTCCTGCCTGCCTGTCCCCCTGCCTTCTTCTGTGCCTTCCTGCCTTTCTCTGTCCCCCCTGCCTTCTTCTGTGCCTCCCTGCCTTCCTGCCTTTCTCTGTCCTCCCTGCCTTCTTCTGTGCCTCCCTGCCTTCCTCCCTTTCTCTGTCCCCCCTGCCTTCTTCTGTGCCTCCCTGCCTTCCTGCCTTTCTCTGTCCTCCCTGCCTTCTTCTGTGCCTCCCTGCCTTCCTGCCTTTCTCTGTCCCCCCTGCCTTCTTCTGTGCCTCCCTGCCTTCCTGCCTTTCTCTGTCCTCCCTGTCTTCTTCTGTGCCTCCCTGCTTTCCTCCCTGCCTGCCTACCTCCCTGTCCTCCTGTCTTCCTCAGCGCCTTCTTGCCTTCCTCACTGTCTGCCTGTCCCCCTGCCTTCCTGCTTTCCTCCCTGCCTGCCTGCCTTCCTCCCTGCCTTCCTTCTCTTTGCTTTCTGCCCTGCCTTCCTGCCTGCTTGTCTGCCTGCCTGCCTTCCTTTCTGCCTTCCTGCTTACTTTCCTCCCTCCTTGCCCGCTTTCCTCCCTCCCTGCCTCCCTTATACTGAAATAAAGACTTGTATTCACTTGAGCCTTCTAAGAATTGCCAGCACGTGTCATAATGCACTGAGATGTCTAATTCATGGGAATTGACACTTTTTTTTTTTTTTTTTTGCAGAGAAACGTGCATTTCTGTGGTTTAAACTCAAAATTGAGGTTGGGAATGTGATCGTTTAGATCTGGGAACTTCCCATATGAACATAAGTAGCATTTTGCTGTTTTAGTTGTGTACAAGATGTGTCTAAAACACCCTCATTCTTTTTTTGTGCTAACTTTGTCAGTCCAATGACTAAAAAAAAGAAAAAACCAAAAAGATGAGCCATGATAATTCCCCTGTTGTGAGATTACATGTAAGATGTACGTCATTCAAAGTGTCTTTGATAGTAAGCACATTTGAATACTTTGGTTGACTTTATATATATATATATATATTAAATTATATATATATTAAAAAACACATACTTTAGTGGCAAGTATGT